AGAAAGCAACCTGAGACTTTAAAAATAGGATTGCTCTTTAGGGGATGTAATAACTTAAGGAACAACCTGGGAAGGGGGACACCAGCAGGCTAAAAAGCTAGAATTTGGGAATCTACCACTAGAATTTCATATATGCTGAATATGGTAAACATAGAAGTGGATTCAAATCTTACTGTCCATTGCTGCCACACAAAGAAACAGATAACTAAGGTTCTGTGAACAATTCCAGTATAAACAACATTCAGGCTGGTATTCAGCATTCAGGTGAATATGTTATTTTCTCTCTAGTGAATAGTCTGTTCCATATTAGAATTACGTGTGCTATCTTATGGCTTACGGTTATTTATAGTAATGATATACGTGTTATAGATCCATTTGATAAATCTGGAAATTCAGTTTTTTTCCATTCCTCCTAAATACTCCATTAAAAGTGCATTGTGATAGTAAACATTGCTTATATTTCTCTTTTTTTTATTGTAGGCTCAGATTTTTTATTTTTTTATCTACTTCAAGTGTGTAACTGAATATGGCGGAGTTTGTAGATGCAGATGTATCCCTTATTAAAGGCTAAAGGATAGTTTTAATAAAGTAAAACATGCTTTGAAGGATATATATCCTTATGGCTCAGGGAACTTCTTGGGGACATATATCAATCTTCAAAGAGAAATAACTGTTCCCTCCACCCGGTCTCTGTGCCAGCTACAGGAGGACGGATGATGATACCTGATGATATGAAATGAACTTGTGCTGGTTCTGTGCTCAGTGTCATGGAGCTGAAGCACTTTTAAATTTGTCCTAGGAACCACAATAGTCTAAATCCACTCTGTTGAATCTTGGCATTTACACTATTCAGAGTCATGAGGCTCACTCCTCTAATGCTAAATACTAAATTTAAGATGCTGTTGCTCCAATTTACATCTGCAGAGCTATTCTTCCTTATTAAAAGCCTTGTCTACCCAGGAAAAACAAGGCAGGCCATGATTTGAATTATTTCTTGTGTATCAGAGGCGAGATCTTTATCATTGTAAGCCAGATGCCGTTCTGATTTAATTTTCAATAAAAGCGTCATCAACGTTTATGTTGAGTACCCAAGGTGAGTAAAGCTGGGAAGGGGGGAAAGGCCCAGACCTGGGGTTCTTACTGCTTGTGTGCACTCCCCAGCACAGGAAGCTTCAGACACAGCTCCCTAGGGAGGCTTTGCCAAGGGTAGGGCTGTGCAAAATGCTTCATGCTCTCGCTGCATGAAAGCCTCTCATGTACCTTTGAGTTTTGCTCTGGTACTTTGAGTCGTTACAGTGAAGCATAATCTTAAAACTCCAGCTAAAAGTACAATTGAGAACAGTTCCAAATACCTGCTTTGCTATGCACTACACTAGCTAATAAAAATGTAAATGATCTCTGCAATATAGTGCATGGTGAGAAATTAAATAGTTTATCTCATCACATGTCTCGCATTCTATGGGCTCCAACATAGTAACTTTTTCTAGCGATAGATTGTTTTCACACTTCTGTAGACTTTGGTATGTAAATCTCAAACCCTACACAAGGTAAGTTTATATTATTAAACAGTATTCGGTGAAGGAAAGAAACGGTGAAGCTGTGAGCAACCCAGTATCAAAAGGTGCCCATTACAACGTCAGAAAGTGAATTCACACGTCCTGGCCATGTATCATAATTACAAGACCATTAAAGCATTTCATGCTGAGCTTCTCTCAGGTAGTCTGCTGCTAAGGGTAATAACAGTAAGATGCAAAGCAGCATACAGGGTTGAGCAAGTGAACGCAGCAACAATAAAAGCTGAAAACCCTCAGGGCAATTTGCATGTATTTCAGTGCAGAATACGCCCTTTTCTGATGAAGATTAAGTTTTCAATTTTTAAACTTTGGAAAGAAAGAAAAAAAAAATCAAACTTTCCATTACATCAATACTGTATTTTAAGGAAAACTATCGTATTTGTTAACCATGACTTTGGGCTAAAATATAAAAATAGGAAAAAAAGGGTTTTTTTTGTTTTCAGTAACACGTATGATATCTAAGAAATGATAGAAGAAAAATTGAAATAAACTATTTGATAAAAGCTGAAGAATCCCCATATATTGTTTAATCTATTATCATGCACACAGGAACGAGGAAAATAACTGCCACGTAGAAAATATTAAACTCCTAGTGGTAATGAAGTCTGCTAATGAAGTCCAACTGATTAATACATGACTTTGGGGGAAATAGATTAATTAATTAATTCAGCAGATGGAGAAATTACTTGCTCACAGTCTATCAGTACTTAGATAGGGCAGCTACATCAGGGAGCTTTTCTGCCCTGGTAACAAACGATCCCATGACTGGCAGCTGGAGCAGGATGAATTCAGTCTCTCTCCGAGATTTGATTTCCAAGCTCTGTGGATATAATTTCACCAGAAGAGATGAAGTTTTCACAATCGCTTAGAGGCTTTAAAATGCATATTTAAAATATGCTTTAATGCACCCTCTGAATTAAACTCTCTGCTTATATGTGCAAAGCATAGGGGTTTATCATCACAGCGGTCTCTTTCAGCCTTGCTCCCCATGAACTGATTAATGACTCTGTTCATTTTCTTCCTTGGGGAGCCATGGAGGTAAGAAGCTTGTCTGCATTTCCCTCAAGGTGCTCATAACACACACAGTTTTGCTGTAAGGCAACGATTATAGCAAAACCTCTCTCTTCAGAGCTTTAGCTGATTGCCTGAAGGGATCAAGAGGGCATTTTTTCTTCACTGCCCGTTAGCTAGTGATAGACTTGGGGATTATTTTTTGTCATCTTCTCAAGCTTCAGAAATTGTTCCTATCTGGAGATGCGTGATAAGTGTATTCTGAGGTGGAAAAGAAAATTTCTTAGAAAAGAAAATTTAATAGATACTATCATGCTGAGATGTTTGGGGTCACAGGGATTAACAAATCTGAGACACAAATGGTAGGTTTTCCCAAGGTCATTTTGACAGGAACCTTGGGGAACTTTTGTCTATGGAGAATAATTTAATTGTTTAAATTATTAATTTAACTTTCAAATATGTTATTTTATCAATTCCACACCACTGCAGAAAAGTCAGACATTGGCCCTTTACGATCAAGCCTAGTGCTTTGCTTGGTTGCTAATATTGAGGTGGGTATGTGAAAAGTGATAGACTGTGACATATAGGAGGGCTCAGCGGAGCAACAACTTCAGCTTGATCACAAACTCCAAGAAAAGTAGTCCCATTGATTTCAGTAACACTCCTCTTAAAATAGTGCACAGGAGGCCAACTGAATGTGGATGGAATTCTCAATATTGAACCCATAAAAAAAGAAATAGAGCATTTTTCTGTGCACTTAGTAATTCACTGGCCGGGCCTTTTCCTGTTTTCCACTGTAACATAACTGTTAGTTTTAACAAAACCGTTTTGTCTAAGGCAGAATAATTTCCGTATAGCAATCAAGTGAGGTTTTGTTCATGGTTCTTTATTTCAGTGTATGTATAAAGTTGCCGAACTTCCGCAGCTGGATAAAATTATCCATCTTGAAAATACAATCAGAGAAGTCAAAAATCATGATTTTTTGACAATGTTGAACACTTCTGTTTTGTTGCCTACATATATTTATGTATACATATATTTATGTATAGATGTAAATATATCTCTCTTTTCAGTATTAGTAACTGTTCTACTAGAAGCTTTCAGATCTTCTGAATTAAACACTTCAAAATCATAGCACAGTACATTAAGTTAAATAAATGGATAACATTGTGGTATATGTGTAAATTAATTATGAGGAAAACATAACAAATTATATTAAGAAAATAGATCCTTATTTTTTTTAAATAGAGCACCCAATAGATCAATGCACACATTAAACCATTATTTTACTGTTCTGACTACGGGTTGATTGAAAAGAAGCAGCAGAATTTATGCAGCTCTTCGGTCATGATTTGGGTGGGCTTCACTGAGGTGAATATGGGGCTTTAATGGCTTTTAATGGCACGAGCGGCCTGGAGCACTCACTCATGCTGTCTGCCTGATCTCACTCCTAAGCCATGAGCAACATGAGCTAAATGGATGGCACTACTGTAAAAAGACTGTAACATCAGAATGAGATGTTCTAGGAAACTGCCCTTGAAAGCTGTAATTTCTTTCCTCGTGTCAAAAATAGCCTTGTGTAAAAGAGGAAAGTATTATTTAGATCAGTCTTGCTACTTTGATTTCTATGAGAATGAAAAGTCTGGGCCTCAGAGCATTTGCCTCACCAAGCATAGTGTTTGAATACAGTCACCAGGCATCAGAGCTTAAATCACAAAGCTCTTTGTTTAAGGCTCTGTACTCTCCTTATCTCAAAGAGTGGAAGTTACAGAGATAACTTACTGTCTTTTCCTAGAATAAATGCCCACAAGCAAGAAGCATTGACATAGTAATGGTGGAGTGACCCAAAGACACCTAATTGTGCAAAGGGATGGAATGGGGAGATCCTTAGCTGCTATAACAAGTCAATTCTCCTTCCAAGCAAAATACAGTCTGTTCCCGGCAATGAAGACAGTTAAAACTGGGACTTTAGAGAGAAACACAACGCTGAAAATGCAGGAAAGAAGCACTGAAAATCTACAGGTAGAATACAGAAACTTCAAAGGAGGAAAAAATGTGAGGTTAGAAAAGTACATATGGTTCTATTTCCATCAAACCATTCACTTGTGCTTACAGGTACACAGTAACTTAGGCCACTTTTTATTATTGACTTCATTTTGAGTAACTGGAATCTCAGAAAGATTTTACATTCTCAAACTCTCTTTCCATGTGAATGACAAGAATCACAACCTACTTCTGAGTAAAAGATCAGTACAAAAGAAACCTGTCAATATTTTTTCACAAGCGTGATGACTGTTGTTAAAGTACCTGCCAGCTTTTGAAGGCTATAAACAGAGACAGCTGCAGAGGAAATAAGGGCCTGTCTTACAATTCTGCTGGAATATCCTGGGCTCGGAGCCAGTTTCTAAATTGAAGTCAATAGCATTTCATGTGGCATAAGCCAGTACAGATTTTACTGTTGAAAATCTCTAGAAGTTTCAGGCTGGGTAAAAAAATAAACTCTGTCCTTCCTAATCCTTGCACATACACTGGATGTTGCAAAAGAACTGGCAAATATCCACGTGTGAAATAATCACTTCTGAAGTTTACCTGTTTAGTTTGACACTACAATTTATTTTAGTCATTATATTTGAGCTGAGCTCTAAGTAAACTGTGTATCAGTAATGGACTGTACGATGAACTGACACCAACGGGAGCCTCCTACTGAAAGAAAGTCTTGCTTTAAATAAAATAAAACTAGAGATGACTATATTCAGGTTTCTGTGCACACGGGGTGGTCTTTGACATCAAACCATTAAATGATTTAGCGTGGAGATGCGTCCTGTTGTGACCACCTGCACAATGTGTGTAATTCAAGAGGGGAAAGAATCTTTGCCTTCATTCTTCTTGATGTCTTCTGATCCCTTGCAATCATAATGTCAATACAGAGGGAAAAATTAAAAGGACTTATTAAAGACTGTGAACTTGGGCTGAGTCCCACTGCAGTTCACACTGCCAAGTTCAGAACCTCTGTGCTGCGGGGTCAGGTGCTCATGAGTACTTTTTCTCATGGACAAAATTCCAAACAAGAATCATTAGATAAATCTTTGGCCTCTAGTCCTGAAGGGCACCAAGTAGTTTTTACTACCCTAAATCTGAGTACAAGCAGAAGTGGGCCAGATAATTATTTTCAAAGTGTTTGCTATACAACGTGATCCTCACACCCAAATGAAGTCACTGCTACTTGTTGGTGATCATCACCATGGCAGAATACTGCAATCTCCACCTGCCCAGCCAAAAGTGGAGCTTCTCTGAACTGGAAGCTCTTTCAAAGCAGGCTTTGTAGCCACAGAGAGGCATCCTCAGCACCTGCAGGAACTGTGGAGGGGCTCCCCACTGACAAAGTGGTGTGTTGTAAGGACATTAAGGTTATATATATAGTCACACTGCTGGACTTGCGCTAGAACATGTCATCAGCCCTCTGGTATGTAGGGAGGAAGGAATAAGCAGTGAGGAGAGAAAGAAAAATAAAATCAGTGATTATGTCAACAGGAGCAATGATTACTCAATGAGGTCTGAGTTGTTATTGTAATAGTCCATGTTTATTTTACACTAGGGTATAGAGACTCCCAATGGGTACTTTGCACTTGTACCCATTGCATTAAATGTTCACAAACAAGAAAAAAGCTGAGCAAGGTATGAGCTTGTTTTAAATCAGCATAATGATATTGATTTCAAGGATCTCATGCTAGCGACTGACTTGAAGGCTTTTTATTACTTACCAGACCCCAGATTTATGGTAAGCATAGGGATCAATATAAATTCATTCTAGACACAGCTGCAAACCAGTGCAGTTCAGTAAGGTAGTTAGCCATAGCTATGGAAATATTTTCTTAAATGTTGCAGAGATGAAACACAAAAGGTTTATAGTCATTTATAGTCATTTTTTAAAAGAATTCAGGAGTCTGCATATCTGGGGAGATGATGTGTGCAGAGCTATATGCTGAGTACAGATAGGGGCGTGTAGACAACTGGCTCTTCTGTCTCACACTCATCCACAGCTGGGCACGTTATCTCTTGATTCCCCAAAAGAGAATGTTCATATGCACATATGCATATTCTGGTACTTTTTTGGACAGTGCAAGTGACAGAAAGCATTTGTCTGATTTTTAAAGTCTGCATCTCAGCTTAAGCAGAGACGTCTTTATATGCCTGTTTTTCTCCTCACTAGATTGTAAGCATCAGAAGAGATAGGCCTTCTGAAAAGGAAGACTGCATTTCCAAGATTCCCATCATGGAAAATGCGCTTTCCTGAATATGAGGTTTCCTGTATACCCTCCTTTAATTGTAATTGCAATGTACACCCCCCCTTTTAAATGTTATCTTTTTTTCTTTTTTTTTTTTTTCCTTTTTCCTAAATCTCATTACTACAACATGCTCTGTTATTCAGAATTTCCATTTGGAGGTTGGAGAAAGTACTTGAAAGGTAAGACATGTCAAACTGGAGCTTTCTATGCAGTTTTCATTCTGCATGTGTGTTATGAAACGGCTTTTGAGTGCACGGACCCCTACCATTTTTGCATAAGGCCCTGTTCCACTCACAGTGTAACAGCAGGCCACATCCTGCGGTCCTTTTAAGAACCACCACAATTATGATAGTTCTGTGAGTATCAGAAATGCCAAACCAGGGGGAAGGACAGCATCAGGCCGGCTACTGTCTATTGTCTTACATTAACTCCACTAAACCACTGTTATGTAAAAATCATCAAAAATCTACGAATAATTGTGAATGGAGTATAGATTGAAAAGCTACTGGCTCACACAGCTGCAGTGTGTGTGACTTACCAAGGATTTGATAGGAAAAAAGTTACCATGGGAATTGTAAAGCATTGTTCAAAGCTGACTCCAGTTTGGATTGTTGTACTCTCACTGCAGCTTTTGTTTCACTGCAAAGTACAGTTATTAAACTCCAGCTTGGAACAAAGATGCGTTTTCATTCAAGGACTGAGTTGAAGTAATGTCTATTTTTAGAAATGCCACTGCTTTAAGCTAGGAAAAAGATTTTTCTCCATTGCTATTTTGAAAAACTCTTAATATTTCAGTATAAATTTAGTATGAACATAGAACATAAGTCATTTGCCATTCAAATGGTTAAATACCATCCCTGGACATTTTTATAGGCCAGTATGAGCACAGTAGGTGATGGCTGCAAAGAGATGTCTAAACTGGGAGGCCTTCTGCAAGATGAGAAGTATAGGGGACTAGCTCCATACTTCCAAGCCATTCATTCGTCTTCTTCAGATCTCTTTCCACTAAATTTAATATAAAAATTGAACTAACTGTATGTTCCAAAAACAAAAGTTCTAAGCATTATAACAAATATTTGGGCAATTTCTGAGAGCTGGTAGAAGCTGAGACTTGTATATTAATTTGAAAATTGTGTAAATTTTAGATCCATGACCTCTTGGACTCCTACAAAATGGTGTCGATATTATTTATTGCATTTTTTTTTTAACCACAGGAGCCAGTGACTCCTGATTTTTGTCACATAAATGAATGTTTCCCTCGTGATTCTAATCAATATGTGTTGCCGGCCACAAAGCTAAACGTGTGGAGTGTATCACCTCCCTGTGTGCTCCCTAAATATTTTAAAGAGGTGCTTCATCTCTTTGTTTAGAGAATGGAGAATTGGCTTCACTGCTGTTTAAAATGCCTAAAAATAAATAAATAAATAAATAAAAAGGATTTACGGTAACATTACTACAGGCTGCTGCTAACTGCTCCAGAAGGGCTTGTAGAGAGAGCTCTCTATATGAAATAAGTTGAACAGCACGAAAAAAATATTTGGGAAACAAAGTCTCTTCCTGCGTGCTAAATTATAAAATCCACTTCTTAAATTGAACATGATCATTGTTTTTTAAATTCCTTGCGCAGAGGAGTTTGATCTAGCTGAGGCCTTTATAAAAATGTCATTAAATCACAGGAGAGAGGAAAACTCAGTATCGCAAACTAATGATTTTGAAGCAGCTGTATTACCTATTTTCTCAGAGGCTTAGATCAGCAACCACCATGCCACGCACGAGGAGTACCTGCGTGCTTGCTTTTCCCTCAGGGATATGGAGAGTTTGATTTTATTAACACACCACACACTATTACACTGGCGCAGGGACCATCGCGGGCCTCCGCTGACAGGAACCCTGGGACGGCACCGTTTTATTTCACGAGGAAACCGCCACCAGGATTCCCGCTGACCCAGGAATGACCGGGCCCTCCAGCACCGCGCGATTCCCAGGCGGGCACCAGCGCGGGCCGCCGCG